ATGAATCCTAGCCAAAAGTGTAATAAAATATGAAACTTCTGGAACAAAATAGGAAAGAAATGTGCTTTGTGATTAGACAAAGCTTTCTTAAAACAAAAGTTGGAACCATAAAAAGAAAATCCTGATAAATTGTACTTTGTCACAAATTAAAATGTTAAATCTTCATAAGATGCCATTAAAAAACAAAAACCTAAGCCATAAACTGGAAGAAAGTGTTTCCAAAATAGAAATGTCATAAAACTACTTATATCAAAAATATGTTTAAAATTCTTACACATCTCTTAAGACAAACAACTGAATAAATAAGTGCACAAACAATTAAACCAAAGAAGATGTTTTAAAGGGTACATCTAAACATAACAAACATAAAAAGATTCTAAGAAAACATTCATCAGTGGAGACATATAAAGTAAAACTACAATATGATAATATTGCATGCTCACTAACACAGCTAAAATAAAGGAGGCTGCTGTTGCTACATGCCATTGACAATAAAGAAAGGCTGAATTCTCAATCATTGTCATTGAAATGTAAAACTGGTCCAGAAACTTGACAAAATAGTTTGGCAATTAAAAAATATTTTTGGCCTTGTGTGTATGTACGTGTTTATTGAAAGCAAAACATACACTTACCATGAGACCTGGCAATTTCCAAGGAATATATCCAAGAGAAATGAAAACATATGTCCACATAAGAACTCTATGTGAATACTTATAGCAGCATTATTCATGATAGTTCAAAATTGTTACAATGAATTTCAGCTAGGGAATGAGAACAATGGAGTGTATATGTATAGTTACAAGTAATTTTGAATGAAGTATCAATGCATACAAAAACATGGGTGATTCTCTAAAACACAATATTAAAAAGGGAATCAGAAGGATATGATTACTTGAAGGACTGCTCCGTTTGGGTAAAAGTTTTAGAAAAGGGAAAAAGAAACATGGGCACACATTCACACAGAGACATAATATCAATCGCTTAGGAATAAGGCTGAGAGCAGGAAACAACTACAGATAGGCATGATGAATTAGAGAAGATGGATACAGTCTAAAATATTTTTGGTAAGGGGATGCATGAATTTACACATTAACTAAAGCCATTAACATTGAGGTTTAGCATGAGTGAATTTTATGGCATGTAAATAATACTTGGCAAAGCTGTCAAAAGAAAAAACAAATTTATCAAAGTCTTAATATAAAATAGTGTAAAACTGATATTTATTCTAAGTATGTGTGTGAAAGATATTAAGTGCAGTAGTATAGAAGCCAAAACCTGGGAGACAGATATCTCAAATGCCAACTTAAAAAAATATTTTTTAAAAATGACATCATAACATAACACACTTAATATTAGAAGAGATTTCCAAAGCCAAATAAATTTGTAGCCTCAGAGCTAGGGGAAAATAATAAATGCAATAATAAAAGTAGTTATTCCATAACTACTTTTATTATTAATATGTATTTATGAGGTCATAAAGAAAAAAGAATATACTTTTACAAGTGATAAAATGCACATGCATTTGTCACAGCTACCATTATTAAAAAATGAGATAGCTCTCACATGAAATTTTCAAATATAAAAGAACCCCATATTTTAGAGTATTTTTCAGGGACATATTTTTATAACATGTTAGACATGTTTCTATATTCAGAAACATGGTATGTTGAGCTTTAATAAAACTTAACATTATTTGTTAAATTAAAATACTTAACTAGTATAACATTTTAGAGCTCTAAAAATATACAGTAGTCTACAGTACCTTACAACACCCTCCCAGTGATGCCAAATTTAAGATCCACCATACTAGACTCTCTTCCTCAAGGTTGTTCCAGGTTTGCATACAACAGACCTCTCTTTGAATACTTCACCACATATCCCTTATAATTTATGTTCCTTCTGAATTCCTGAAGATATTAAATACTAAAATAGTCATCATTTAAATTTGTTAACACTTGGCCATTAACACTGTATTTTTTTTGTAATTAAAGATTTGATAGTTTCTTCTACTAAAAATACTGATCACTAGTATTTATGACATCCAATTTACCAAGTCAGGAGCTTTTATTTTTAATTCAAGTATATTTGTAAATAAATTTGATAACTTGGCTGGGGGTGTAGCTCACTGATATAGTGTTCACTTCACATGACAAAGTCCTAGGTTAGATCCCCATCACTATAAAAAGAAGAAAAAATAAGAAGTGTAGTGTCTGCTTTGTCCAGATGCCAGCATTTTCTCTGGGACAGCATTGAGATTCATGGATAAGTGGCCCTGGGATAAATGTGTAAGGGAATACAAAATGTCTTCCATCTGCACGTTTTATATCAAAATAACATTAACAACCACTAAAACACATAATAGTTTTACTTGAAAATATGATACTACTTCTAATTAAATTGAACCATATTTTATATTTGCATTTATACTATCATTGTAAATTTAATATGGTCTTTAAGGAATAAAGGAAATGAAAATGGACACAAATATACATATGTTTAAAACTAAGTGAAAACATCATACATATGTTCAAATGTAGCCTTAATTACCCACAAAATTTTAATGATGTAGATTCAAATTTGATCTAATCAAAGTTTTGTAGATTTCAGTGGAAAATTGTGTGGGCAGCTTCATTATAAGCAGGGATGGCAAGGAAAATGACTAAATCATTTTTGAAATCATATACATGTAGAAATCAGAGCAAGAAGAAAAGCTTCTTTTTATTCATTAGAATAGTTAAAACGTCTCTTGTGTACTGAATTGAATACACAAGCTTTCTGAGAGATTCAGGCTAACCTCAAATAGTGTATCTTATTTGAGGACTTTATAAGCTGAAAGTAAGTACAGTGCACAGTTTATTTTGTTAATGTTTAGTTAACAACATATATAATAGTGTTTATGTTAAAGCAGTTATTAAAATAATCATTAGATTTCCTGTCCTAGGAAATTATTGGCAGTACTACAATTTATAGAAGTGATACCATATTAGGTTTGGTTAGAAATTCAGGTAGCATTGTACAAATCTTCTAGAGAGAGATGGTGAATAAACAAGGAAAATCATAGTAATACTTTTACAAATATTCAGTCGACCACACATTTTGCTCATATGAAAAGATATGCAGCAGCCTAATAATTAAAATTTTAATATTTTTACATTATTTTCCTTTAAATGTATTCTGTATGTATCCCTTTTCTAAATAACTGACAAATATAGCTCATTTTGATCTGGAGCAAAAGGAAATTTATCGAAGATGTTTAAGATTATTAGACTGTAAAGCATAATTACTTTGGAATCTAATTTGCATTACTCAACCATATCATTTGGATCAAACTCTAATATTGTGGAAATAAGGTCTTTTAAATGAATAAAAAATAAACATTTCACAGCCTTTTTTTCCCCACATATTCAGTCCATGTAAATTACAAGTTTACTTACTATTTCCTTTTGCCTTTTATATACATCTAGTCACATAGCTACCTAAATAAGAAATCTTTTTCAAAAGACTATGGCAATAGGTCATTTTAACTCTATTTGAATAGCTAAGGTAAGGAACTAAACCCCCAGTGACTTAAATTAACCTTTTCATGACACAATTTTTATGTATATAGAGATGAAATTTGCAATCTGCATTTTGATACATCCAGGAAAATATCTTATTTTTTTCCTGATTACAGTCCTATCAATATTTAGACAGCTGTATCTTTTCAACATCCTCTTTCTTTTCCAAGCTAAACAACTGTCAGGTTTCTAACTCCTTATTTGACATCAATAATAATCACTTCACAATGTAGTGACCTTGTTTTGGATAGAATCTGGTTTGTCAATTTTCCCATCCCATTTTTAAAGAAGTCTTCTAATTTAAAATATCACCTGCCAATAAACCCAATAAAGAATCTCATCATGTGGAATTAAGTATAAAGGCAAAGAAATACTCACAGGGACTCTTGTAAAATAAAAGAACAAAAGAATGAGAATAGAGCTCGGAGGACCATAATAAATGGACGATTTTAAATAAAAAATGATGATAAGATTAAAAAAATCAGAAATGCTTAGCATTACAATCATGTTTCAAAGTAAAGGGATAAAAAAGGAAAATGAGGTTATTGGGAAGAATAAAAAGGGATAAAAAGAAAAAGATGGGTAAAGTTTTAAAATTTATCACTAACACAGGATTAAGCAAATATTGATCCAAAGGATTGGTAGGGCCCTAAAACAGGTATTTAAATATCTCCAATGGCCAAGATAAAGCAAGACAACAGGAAAAAAGTGAGGCACAGGGAAGATCTTTAGAGAGATGATAGATAAACATACACAGTCACTGTTAAAGGGACCTTTGATGTGGCACAGATTTACGACATGAACAAGTATGTGATATAATGGTTTTTGTACTGAAGAGACATCTTAGTATGTACATTAATATGAAATATTTTTATTTGTGAATAAATTCTAACAATATTTAAAATGTAAGGCATGAGCAAAAAGCTTAGAATTACTCCTAAAGCAAAATAAGACATACAACAAACTAATTATAAAATGAGAGTAGCTTCAAGACAAATTCTAAGCTATTTTACTCACAGGATGAGTCAAAGGATTTTTTGTTGTTGTTGTTTAAAAAGTTGACAGAAAAATCTCATTAGAAAAGTAATACAGAAAACTCTAGTGTTCATATCTTATTTAAGATATATTTGGTCTGTGGTGAATGACTTATACTATGATGACTTAAAAATAAAACTGTAAAAGTTCAAAAATTGGACTAAATAATATCATAACAAGTTACAAATAGGAATATTATTGAAAACAGAGATAAATATTTAATAATAATTTAAAAGTGGTTATTAATTTCAATGCACACCCTAAAGAAATTTCTAATATTTAAAATTATTTATTTTAAATAAATATTTTAAAATAAAATACAGAACTAGACACAGTTTAGTGTCCAAGGGTTAGCATAACAAATAAGAAAGATTGAGTGGCTTAAACAACATTAATGTATTTTCTCACCAAAAGTCTAAGATCTAGGTATGCACATGATTGGTTTCCTCTGTGGCCTCTCTCCTGAGCTTGTACCTGGTCTTCTTCCCATGGTATCCTTGATGGCCTTTCTTCCCTATGGAAAATGAAGAATAAAATGATGCTAAAACTGAGCCTACCAGGAGTAGATATAGTAATTTCAGGAATGGGAAATCATGAGGGATATTAGGATGTTATGAAATAAAAATGGAATCAGTTCCCCAAAAGGACATGAAAGTAAATGTAAATGTACCTAATAAGAGAGTATTAAACACATGAGGCAAAAACTGATGGAACTACAGAAGAAATAAACAAGTCTGTAGGAAGAAACAGACAAGTCTCCCCTCATTGAATAATGCTTCCACACCACTATTGATTAAGTAATAGTTCCAGGAAACAAAAACTCAGCAAAGAAATAGGGGACCTGGATAGCACTATTAATCAACATTCTGTAATTGAAATTTATAGAGCAATTCATCCAACAGTAGCAGAATGTGCACTACTTTTAGGGTCACATGGTGCATTCACCAAAATACATCACATTCTTGGCATGAAAAATCCCTTAACAAATTTAAAAGCAGAGAAGATGTGACCTTAAATCTTTGTGCTCCCCAGCCATTCAAATATTGAAATTCTAAACCTAGAGTGATAGTATTAGAAGATGGGGATTGGGAGAGGTTCCCAACAGTGAGAGCAGAGAACTCATGAATGAGATCAGTACCCGTAAGAAAGAAGTCAAAGAGAAAACTCATATTTCTAGCATGTGAAGGTGCAGGGAAAGGAGACACCCTCTATGAGAAACAGGCCTTCAGTAGACACCAAATATGCCGGTCTTGAACTTCTCAGCCTACACACTGTGAGAAATAAATGTTTCCTGTTTATAAATCATCCAACTTGTGGTGGCTAGGTATAATAGTGCCAGGTGTGAACTAATAAAACACTGCTAAACCCTGAACAATTCTGAGGAAGTTTTGTGTTAACAATAACACTCTTTCCCCATTGATTATTCTCTGAGACAGTGTCATCCAATTTAAACATTATGGACATTTATGTTTGAATTATTTTGTCTGTTGCTGCCTAACAGATTATCCTAAAATGTAAGGCTTAAAAGCAGCACTTACTTCTCAAAGTTTCTGTGGATCATAAATCCTGTCTCCACTTTTCTTTTTCTTGTTTCTCTGGTCTACCCCACAGATATAACAAAGGCGTTGTATGAGACTACACTCCTCCTAAACCCCAACCAGAAGAGTCAAGCTCACTCTTGAATGTAAATGTTGGCAAGAATAAGTTCCTATGGGCTGTTAAAAAATTTCACTTCTTCCCTGGTCATTAGCTGGAGGATGCACTCAGTCCTTTGTCATGTGGACTACTCCTACATGAACAATCTGGTAAGATCCCAAGTGTGAGTGCTAACTAGATAGAAGCCACTGTCTTTAATGACCTAATGTCAGAATCTCTTCTCTTCTGCTGCATTTTTTTTTTTTTTTGTTAAAATGCAAGTCAGATGGTTTCTTCCCCACTTGTGGAGAATAGATTACAAAGGGTACCATATCAGGACACAAGCACAATTAGAATAATTTCATAAGTAGATTATCAGAATGCTTTTGTTCTGCTGTCAACCTATAAATTACTACTGTGTAAAACACATCCTATTAAAAACATAAGTTAGAACCAGTAGTTCTTCTGATACAAAAAAAAAAAAAAGCACTTTGCATAGTTGGTTGTCAAAAAGTTTTGAATAGAAATGAACCCCAGGCAACCATTCATCTTTGCAATGGCCCTTAAAGACAGCTGCCATCTGTCGTGAATTAAAATGAAAAACTTATGATTGATATAGAGAGGAAGTATTTGGAAAATTTTTCTTTTAAAATGTAGTCACAAGTATTCAAGAAAGTTAATGTAGGCCTAAAAAGAACTACTTCAGTAGGACATTGTATCTTTTTTCATCAAGCTTTCATTAATTTCCAGTATTGAATAGCAATATAGTCAAATTGGAGGACCCCAAGCAGAAACCACAGTCCCCAGAGGTCTCTACTAATTGTAGTCCTAGGCAAATCGTTAAGGCAATCTTCCATTAATTAGATGTATTTCCCCAGTTGGAAGCAGAATACCCAACAATGCCCACAGTAATGGTGAAGATCTTAGCATCGATTACTTTTTCTTCTAGTCAATGAAGTAGGACTCCAGTTCAATCAGATGCATTTATTTTTCAATATTTTTAAATGTTCTGATAAGCTGAAGTTAGATTTACTTTGAATCTTCCATCAAGAATTAAAATTATCAAAATACACTGATATTTCAATTGATTTATATAACCCTAATTGGTTCCAAATAATACCCTCTAGTCATTTAAGTGAAATATGGAATTGAGCTGATAAATTTTTTATATAACACTGCAATAAGGTAGAAGAAAATAGATGTATATGAACATATCTTAAAATGCTGACACTTCTAATGTATAGTATTTTATGCAAACTCCAAATTTGAAGGATAAAATAATTCAAAATTGGAAAACAGTTTAACAAAAAAAAATGCCTCATGATTTTATTTTGTATCTCAGGTGCTGAATCACAGATAAATCTGAAATTCTTTGCAAGCAGTAAATATAAGTGGAAGAAATATCATTCTTCTGAGAGAGCAGGGTTAATGTTCAATTAGATGTGACACAGAGCTAGCTGAATGCAGTATTCTTTTATGTATTTATGGAGATACAATAGTCTTTTATTAAAATTATTTCCCCGAAGAAATACTAGATGAACCTCAACATTTAATCCAATTATATGTTTTGGTGTCTACTTGTGCAGATATCTTTCTATCTTTCCCCTTTGGATGTATTAGATGTATTCACATGCTTGCTTAGTATTTGTTTGGGTTGCTTCTCTACCACCTTCTTATGTTTCCTTCCATGTGGAGAAAATTTCACCAGCATTTCACTTCCTTCTCCCACCCCCGCTTTTTTATGCTTAATTAAAAAGGAGGAATTCAGGGCAAATCATAATTTTTCAAAGAGAATCATAAAGCTGTTGTCCCAGACATCTCCCACAGCCTTTTGGAAAGAACTTTCTGTAGAGATGGCAGGTTCTGCTGTGACCTTCCCCATTGTATATCTTAAGGGAGCAGAAGCCATTGCATTGGGAGGCTCCTGAGCATCCATCTCTATTATAGGTTTTAAGTCCATTTAATTCTTAAATTCAGTATAAAGAAAGCTGATTTTCAGCAGATTCAGCACAATACTTATCATCAGCTACAAAAGTGGTATTAGATTCTCTACCCATATTTAATGCCTTTGTTTATCATATTAAATTCTCAAGTGAAGCTAAAGAGTTGTTTTACATTTGGGGCCCACTTAAACCCCAATAACTATTGGAATAATTATTTTTCATTCTATTTTCTAAGTAGTTATTACCATTATTATAAAAAATAATTGAACTTTTATTTTCAGAACCCAAAATCTTTTTTTTTTAATTTTTAATTTTTTATATTGGTTGTTCACAACATTACAAAGCTCTTGACATATCATATTTCATACATTAGATTGAAGTGGGTTATGAACTCCCAATTTTACCCCAAATGCAGATTGCAGAATCATGTCGGTTATACATCCACAATTTTACATAATGCCCAATTAGTAATTGTTGTATTCTGCTACCTTTCCTATCCCCTACTATCCCCCCTCCCCTCCCCTCCCCTCCCTTCTTCTCTCTCTACTGGAACCCAAAATCTTGAGGAGATTCGTAACATTAGGTTTATCATCTGATACCCTTTGTTTTGTAAAAATACTACCTGGAATTGGGAATATTAATATATTTGCAATATTTATGTCTTTATTTTCTATTTGATTGCATAGAGCTTCTTATACAATGACAAAAGGTAAAACTGCCATTCTTTTACTGAATGGGAATGATTCAGATTTAATACTTAGTACAATATAAATTTTTGATTTGACACAATGTTTTTAAATATCAAAAATGTAGTTTATATTTGTTGGTTGCCAAGAAGTTACTATCTTTATTTCGTTTCTCGTATTTTTCCTACTTTAACATAACTTAATTTTTTAAAATAATTATTAATAGTCTTCAGTCCAATAATAAAATGCTGTGCTCACTTTTCTAATTTTAACCATTTAAAAATTATTTTAAATTTACATTTAAAACATGGCATATGAGTGGCATGTTTCTGAGACTTAACATATATGAAAATATATTATACAATTTTCATATTTAAAAATCTGCTTGAGTTGACACAAAATTTAAAATCATTTTGAGGATTCAGCCATAGTATGTTTGTGGCGGTAATGTAATAGGATTTTATTATTAGTATTCCGTTAGTACACATTGCAAAGAAACTAAATGTCCATCAAGAAATAAAGGGTTAAATAAAATGGGATCTTTCCATTTCTTGGAAATAATGTAGTTAATAAGATTAATAAGTACGGTCATATATACTCACTAGGAAAGATTAAATTACAATTACTAATTGAATAAAAATGCTATATATTCATTTTTACATACATACATAAAAGATAAAACTGAAGATATTCATCTTTTTAAACTACATGTTTATATTGTTAATATGATTAATTTATTAGTCAAAAATACTATCCCCTTAAGTTACCTTTTGCAGCAAGTCTTCATGGTAACTTTAGCATAACTTTTGAACTAAGTACTTCCATTTAGTGTATGTTTTTTCATAGAAGACTATAAGCCCTTTTATTTGAAGCTACATATTTCTGCAAAATATGTAACAACATATGTGAGAAAAACCCCAAAATTTTTACTTATCGTTACTTCTAAGAGTTATATTTGAATGATTATTTGGAAAACGTTTCGGTCCTACCAGCCATTAAAAATAAAATATTTTAGTAATGGTTTATAATTACTTTGTATGTTTTAGTACTTTTTTCAAAGGTAATATATAAAGAACATTATAGTTATTTTACTAATGGTTTCTAATTACTTTGTATGTTTTAGTACTTTTTTCAAAGGTAATATGTAAAGAACATTATAACTATTTTACAATTAAAAAATAAAAACCAACCAAAATAGATAATAATTTATTTTGTACCATTATAATATGTTGTTGTTATTCATTGAAATA